TTTGAAAAAATTTTAATTGCAAATAGCTAAAGATCAATATATTTATTGTTTACAATATTTTTTTTCTCTAATGTCAAGTGATGTAATAATGTAAGGTTAATGGAAATTAAATTTAAAAAACAAAATCCGCTCTTAAGAGAATTTGCACCTTCGTGACGTCACAAATCATGGCGCATGACACGCAAACTTCTCAGGTATGTGAAAAGCACAATTTTGAATATTTTTTAAAAAAACCTTTTGGAAAATGTCCAGAATAACATAGACTCTGTCTGTTATGTGCGGAAAATTCAAAATTTTGCGTTTAAAACGTTTTTTAAACAATGTTTAAGTTGGTTGTTACCAGTAAGGAAAAATACACGAATTGCTTATATGTAGGCCATTTTTGGAAAGACCAGGATAAAAATTGGAAAATTCTTATGTAATTTATCAAATATTTAAATTAATTTTATTATAAATAATAATAATAATTAAAATTGTTTAATACTAATTAAACAATAAATTGTTGTTGTTTATTTACTTTTTTCAAAAAGCACATATAAAAAAGCATTTTTTAACAGCTTTCTAAATTATTCATCTCAATTTTGTAAAAAATAAAGGCCAAAAAACCAATTTATTTTTCAATTTTTCAACTAAATAATTATTGTTTTTTATTTAAAAAATTGAAAAATGATTGAATTTTCAACCTTTTTTACAACATTGAGATGAATAATTTAAAAAATTCTCAAAAAATTGCTTTTTTATATGTACTTTTTGAAAAATTTATATGAAAAACAATAATTATTTATTTAAAAAATTGAAGAATAATCTGCTTTTTAGCCATTATTTTTTACAACATTGAGATAAGTAATTTGAAATTTCTCCAAAAACTGCTTTTTTAAAAGTGCTTTTTGAAAAATGCAATTTATGTGTTTATTTAATAAAAAAGAATAATTATTGATTTAAAAAATTGAAAACTAATTCAATTTTTAAATATTACGTTTTACAATTTTTAAATTGGTAAATTTCCAAATTAGGAAAAAACTGCATTTTTGTATGTTTTTTTTAAAAAAAAAAGTAAATAAACAACAACAATTTATTGTTTAATTAGTAATAAACAATTTTAATTATTATTATTATTTATAATAAAATTATTTTAAATATTTGATAAATTACATAAGAATTTTCCAATTTTTATCCTGGTCTTTCCAAAAATGGCCTACATATAAGCAATTCGTGTATTTTTCCTTACTTGTGACAACCAACTTAAACATTGTTTAAAAAACGTTTTAAACGCAAAATTTTGAATTTTCCGCACATAACAGACAGAGTCTATGTTATTCTGAACATTTTCCAAAAGGTTTTTTTAAAAAATATTCAAAATTGTGCTTTTCACATACCTGAGAAGTTTGCGTGTCATGCGCCATGATTTGTGACGTCACGAAGGTTCAAATGCTCTTAAAGAAATGGTTCTCTATTCATGCAAATGTCAACCCTTTTTAACCTTTGAAACGTCTGAGAATTTTAATTAATTTCTCGAAATCCTCGAAAATGTCCATTATAAACTTTACGGAAATAAAAAATAGAATATTTAAGCTTTCTTTTGACACAGATTTTGTCAAAATCGGAGACAACGTGTTTTGAGATATTTATAAGTTTAACCTTCAAACTAAATTTTTTATGCTAATTAAACGTTTTTTTAAAAACATTTTTTTACAATAATAAAGTTTAGAAATTTCTCTTTCGAAACCACTCATTGCAAAAGTAATTGGATTTAATTAAATGGGAGAAATAATTATTTAAAAAATGTCTTATATTGTCAATTGTTTACTAGGGGTATAATTTTAAAATAGAATGCCCCATATAAACTACACATATTTTTAATTTTTTCCGTAGGCTACTTTTTTTCTACTTTTTTAACTTTTCAGGCTACTTTTTGATACTATTTTTTTACTGACTAATGAGTGCGAAGCCTGCTATAAGGAATTTGTATTTTGTATAATGTAATTCAAATAGTAAGCTTCGTCAGATCCAATTTTCAAAAATTCGTTCTAATTTCATTGCATTTATAGCTGTAGTGAAATCCTTCAAAATATATCTATAGTATGTCCTAATAATGAGAAAAAATGAACTCAAAAAAATTCATGGTAAATTTGACTAATTTTTAACTATTTCTCCTAATTTCAAGAGGCGCCTATGAACAAACATTAGTTAAAACAACTATGTAAAAATTGTCAGATTATCTGTAAACTATAGTAAAAATTACCACTTTTACAGTAAATTTAACCAAATAAAGAAGTTATTTCAATGATTTTTTGTCAGTTACATTAACATTTCATTAGGTTGCAGTAACTAATTTTCATAGTTCCAGGAGGCGCCTATTAACAAAAAGTAGTTGTGACAACTATGTTGAAACAGTTAAATGAACTGTAAAATTTAGTAAGAAAAAACTATTCAAAGTAGTAAAATTATTATTATTAATATTAGTATTGAGATCCATTTTTTCATCCTCTCCCATACTACTTTCGTTTATATATGCCTTATAATATTTAATTTTTTATATACCTAACAGAGAAAAATCCCTAAACGGCTGGGGATTGAACGCACGACCCTAACATTCTTAATTATAGCCGACAACTTAACCATCTAACTACGCACGCACGTTAGGATGGCTTGCATGATATTTGAGGACATTCTTGTCACTATGCAGTTAATTTAACTATCCATTGTAGTCAAATTTACTACTTTTAGTAGTTATTATCTTTTTTTAACTACATGAAAACAGTAAATGAAATTTTTTTCTGCAATTAATAAGAAATGTTTCTTTCATCTATTCAAATCCTAAAAATAACAATTTTTAACAGTAGTTTTAACTATTAAAATGTTGTAAAGCCATTGAAAACCACATGACAATTATTTCAACTACAAATATTAGTAATTTTAACTAGGTGAAATTGTCTTCTAAAATTTAGAGTAATTAAGCAGTTACGGGGCTCCTGTCATATCTAGAAATATACAGCTTTTCAGATGGGCTTTTTGGTAATTTTATTCATTTTCCATTCATTTATACATTTTACATTAACTGCAGAACATTATATATTACGTAATTTTTTTTTTGCCTTTTTTTGTTGTGTGTGAATTGAAGATATGTGTCCAATTTTTTTTTATTTTGTTTGTGATATAATTATCTAGCGAAATACGTACGGATTTTTTGAAATAATAATATTTAAATTTTCTAGACAACTTTAAGTAACAAAATTTAGGCAAAAATAAGCACTTTTTCCTTCAAATCGATGCTATTTTGCGAAAAATGCATTTTTTTAAAACGGATACGTATTTCGCTAGATTTTGAGCTGCAGAAACTAATACTTTTTTTTATTTTGATTTGGCTCAAATTTGGACTAAGTTATAGTGCCCACCACACGGCGATACATTTTTAAAGCACTCCGACATATCTGTCAGACCGACATTTTTGAAAAAAAAAATTTTTTTTCAGTTCAAGAGTAGTATAATACCCTAATGTATTTTAATTTTCTTAAAAAAATTCTATTCTTCAATAAAAATTGTTGAAAAGCGTATTTTTTGGTCGGATCAAAATGGTGTAACCCCTTAATACCCTACGTTGCGCCAGAAGGTGGTTTAAATAAAAATGAATTGGCACTTAAAAATTCTTTTTGATTATGATTCTTAGATGAATAAAAAACATTTCTCAATAGTTTTTAAAATTAGTTTACGTGCCCGATTTAAATAAAATTGAATTTTTATATAAAAACAGTGTTTTATGGGGAATCAGAATTTATTTAATCTTATAAATACTGTAATAAATGATAAAATAATTACTTATTTTCAATTTTACATATAAATAATTATATTGCTGTAGTGTTTGTGTCCGATTTAAAAAAATTAAATTATAATGTTAAAAGAACGATTTTAAGAGTGACAAAATTTATTTAAGAGAGTCGAATGGTCTCTGAAATTTTTTGGCAAGAAGAGACCTTTAATTATCGCTCTATAAAAACGGCACTAAACGTGAAAATGATAAACATTGATTTTAAAATACTTTCTTCTCGAAAGACAGACACTTTTTACAAAAGAAGCTAGAGCTTATATAAATTTCCTAAATCCGAAAGATTATGCGAATCCATACAAAAACACGATTGCAAAACGAAAAGTAATATAATGACAGGTTTATTACCTCCTGCCGCCGTCAGATGGTAGCAGCATGCAGGGCGCACAAAGTCGCAGCTGTTATTAGATTACTTTTCTACTTTTTGTTTTGCAACCATGTTTTTCTAAGGATTCGTACAGTCTTTTGGATTTAGGAAATTTATAAGATGAGGATTTTGGCTGATTTTGTTAAAAGTGTTCGTGTTTCGAGAAAAAAGTATTTTAAAATCAATACTATTTCACGTTCAGAGCGATAATTAAAGCTCTCTTCGTGCCAAAGAATTTCAGATACCGTTCGACACTCTTAATGCATAAATATAAAAACGAAACAAGAAAATAACTTCATTGTTAATGAATTTATATGAACCCAAATCTAAAACATCTATTATCTATACGCATATAAGTATACATTAAATAAATTCTGGTTCCTCATAAAATACTATTTTTAAATATTTAAAACTCAATTTGTTTTAAATTCGGCACGTGAGCTGATTTTAAAACCTATTGAGAAAAGTTTTTTATTCATCTTAGAACCATAATCAAAAAGAATTTTTAAGTGCCAATTCATTTTTATTTAAACCTCCTTCTGGCGCACCGTGACCCCTTCTTTTAGGTATAAAAAGTTTGAAGTAAATAAAATAAATTTTGTAATAAAAAATAAATATTTAAGAAAAGTTTACAAATTCAATTATCTTGAACTATTTATCAATTAAAAAGTTTATGAAATTCAATAAATAATTGTTTAAAATTTTTAAAAATCAGCAAATAAAATTACCAAAAATTTCAAATCAAAAATCACTTGATGCTCAATTATTTTGAAAAATCTAAAATTATATATGATAAATTATTAATTGCAGCCAGCGCATATTGGAAAATTACCAGAGCTTCAGGAATTGTGGTTGGATCATAATCAATTGCAACATTTGCCTGTGGAAATTGGTGAATTAAAAACTCTTGTATGCTTAGATGTCTCAGAAAATCGGCTAGAAGATTTGCCAGAAGAAATAAGTGGTCTAGAGTTATTGACAGATCTCCATTTATCTCAAAATGTTATTGAAAAATTACCCGATGGGTTAGGTGAATTAAAACATCTAACTATTCTGAAAATTGATCAAAATAGATTATCGGTATTAAATTCAAATATTGGAAGGTAAAAATCATTATTTATTTATTGAAAAAAAATATTCAAAAATATTGCAAAAAAAATACAGGCAAAGCCCGTATATATATTATACAATTATAATTTATAATTATATATAAATATATAATCATAAAATTATTTTTAATTTTCGAAAACAGAAATAATGTGCTATATAAAATTTCATTTAATATTAATTTTTATTGTTTTTATTTTAGGTGTAAAAATTTGCAGGAATTAATTCTCACAGAAAATTTTTTACTGTCATTGCCACTATCGATAGGAAATCTTTTAAATTTAAATAATCTTAATGTGGACAGAAATAGTCTACAGTCAGTTCCTCGTGAAATTGGTAATTTATATATATATAGTTTAAAATTGTTATATTAACCCATTAACGTCAAAATGTCCAAAATTTTTACCTTAACTTTAATGTAAGAATTAAAACATTAAAAGACCAAATATTTTAATGACGCAGTGGCTTCTAGGGAGGGATTGGGGGTCGCTCTTTCAGATTTTGAAGTCAAAATAGAGATTGGTCCACCAGGAAATCCAATATGGCGGGTAAAATAAAGAAAACCTAAAAAAATCACTTTTTTTGAACCAAAAACATTTTTTAAGTTATCTAACATATTCTATTGGTGGATAAAATAATTGTACGAATAATTGTAAGAACTTTCAATTTCATGATCGCGGACGGAATGTTAAGGTAAAAATTTTGGACATTTGTGCGTTAATGGGTTAAATTCATAATTATTAATGCAAAATAATTGTATGACAATTTTTTTGTAATTTCGCAGGAAATTTAAAAAAACTTGGTGTTTTATCTCTAAGAGATAATAAATTACAGTTCCTTCCAAATGAGGTCGGTCAATGTGTTGCTCTTCATGTATTAGATGTATCCGGAAACAGGTAAATTTTTATATTCGTGTCTCTAATGAAAAAATATTAAACGTAAATCCATAATAGCTTAATAGTTACTTTCTGTAAGTGATGAATATTACTATTTTAGTGTACATTTTATTTTATTATAATTATACATATTCTTTCATATTATTAGCCAAATAAGGTATAGTAACCTAGTTTTACATATGACTTTTTAATTTTCACAAAAAAATTGATATAATTTGAATTTTTTTTTTTTTTTTTTTGAAAAAAAGCGTCTGAAAATATAGGCAATCATTGGTTACATTTTTTGCTTTGTATCTAATCCAGAAACCAGACTATACTCTTTTTTATGCATTATGCATTATGCATTTTTTATGACCTGAACAAAAATCTGGTGTCAAACATTTATTTGTTATAGTGATAATTTTTTTGAATTACAAAAAACTTTTGTTAATTTCACAATTTATATGCAAAATATTAGGAAAAGGATATTTATATCACAAACCGGGTAACAAATTTTAAATGTATTTTGGTACGCTAAATATGAATTTATTTTGGAAAATTTCTCATCGATTAGTACTTAGTTTTCAAATTTTTTTTTTTGACCAAAATTTTAATTTTTTCAAACGAAAATGAATTTTTCAGTCTTTATTTTGAAAAATGTTATTTTTTACAAAATTAAGGATTGTGAGTGTTCTTTATAAGATAGTGTTATTTTATTTTATAAACAAAAATTTTATTAAAAATTTATTTATTTATTTATTCTTTAAAATTTTGTTTTAAACTTATTTATTGTGATTAGTATTAAATTATCAGTTATACATTACTATTAAAGGTATTATTTGCTTCTCAATATACTTGTAGTGAGAAAAAACTTTTATATCTTAAACCGGGAAATAACCGGGAATTCAAAAACTGAAAAATAGTAGACACCCTGTAAAAACATTAATGTAATCAATGGCTGCCTTGGGCCCCTTGTTGCTTAATATACTATTAATTTATTTTAAATTAAATATTTGAATTGTTTAAAAATAATGAAAACAATTAACATATTAATGAATTTACAGATTGCAGTATTTGCCATATTCACTAATCAATCTTAACCTGAAAGCGGTTTGGTTGAGTGAAAATCAGGCACAACCTATGTTGACTTTTCAGACAGACATAGACGAAGATTCAAAGCAAGAGGTTCTTACTTGTTTTCTTTTACCTCAGATGGATTGTCAAGTAGAAGCACATCATGGTAAAATAATAATATGAATATTTTTATATTTAATGGGGGTTAATGACCCCATTGTTTTGCTTAAAATGTGAAGCTAGTTCATTTTGCTAAATTTTATTGGTTGTTTAATGGAAATTAAAAATGAAAGTTTCAATTAATAATCTCCTGAAATTCAATTATTATTTCTAAAAATTTTAACTCAAATTCTGAAATACAATTATTTATAAATTTTGTATCTAAAATTCTTTCTTGAATAATTTAATTTTAATAATTTTCTGTATAATAATAATAAGAAGAATAATAATAATAATACTAATAATAATAATAATAATAAGCTTTTGACTATAATTAACTGTTAATATTTTACAGATAACGTGAAGCTTGGGATTTTATCAGGAATGAAAGACACAGTATCTAGAAATGAAATGAGAGAAATTGTCAGTAGTGACGATGAAGGTTGGCAAGAAAAAGAAACGTCGAGAACGCATTCCGTAAAATTCACAGATGAACTACCAGATAGTGATAAAGAGGTGAGAATATTATGTATTATGATATTATATCAATTTGTTTGTAATAAAATTTAATCAACCGAACAACAAAAAAAGAATAAAACCCCTTCAGTTGATTAAAAAGCGAAAAATCTTTTAAAAAAAATAATAAATACATCTACAAATATTTAATAAGAAAAGGAAAAGATAAAACCTATGCATGATTCAGTTATATTAATATTTGCGATAGCAAATAAAAAACGCCTTATTCATCTGAAATATTTTTTAGATTTATTTCCTCAATAATTGTATCTCATAATAATTCTATATAATACTGATTTGAGTTTTCGTAAAGTAAACATATGGATTTGATTGAATACTGAATAAATTGAATATTTAAATTATTATTAATTAATAATTTAATAATTAATTTATTTTAAAATTAATTTAAATTTAATTTAATTAAATTTTTTAAATAATTTTATTAATACTTACCAGATAAATTGCAAATTAAAGTAGTTACCAATCCAAAGAATTTCTACGCATTGTTGACTAAAGTAAATTTAAATTCTCAGGAATAATAAGTTTAAAAAATTAAATTGAATTAATAAATTTTATAAAGGAATAATTTACTTATTCATAAATAATTTTATATTGTATTTTATTTACAAAGCAATTTATTTAATTTAAAAAATTCAGTGTACTTTAAATTAAAATTAACTATTAATATTTTTTATATGTTAAGCTTATTTATTTAATACCAATTTCAAACCTAATGTTTTATGTAAAATTTTTTTTTACAGAAAACAAACAAATGAGACTTAAATAAGAATTATATTACGTATTAAAATTTGAGACACAATTATATTGAACTGAATTTTCAGATAGGATTTTATTATTCTGAAAATTAGCTATATTCATATTAAATTGAGCTTCAAGTTACGATTATATAGATTTGACAATTGAAATACAATTTTATCAACGGGAGGCGTCGATATTAAATATAAAAATAAATCATTTTAATCATTAATTAAATATGTAACATATCCTTCAAAAAACTATATTAATAAGCATTAATAAGCTCAATATTAAGTTAATAAATATTATGTGGATAACAATTTCTTTCTTCAAGACAAAATATATTGCCACCTTTAAAATTTTACGTGTTTCAAAATTAAAAACAAATTTTATTTTTTGAATAAATTAATTCAATTTTTTCCGTTTAATAATTTTTGAGTAAAATTTTAAGATCTTTTTTGTGAAAAACATTGTTAAAAATTTTCAATGCAAATATTTGCAAAAATATTTTTAAAAATTTATTCAAATTTAGTAGACCAATTTGTCACTTAAAAAACATTTTTCCAAATGTTGAGAAAAATTGATGACATGACCCCGTTTTTTCATATGAAATGCCTCGTATATTCGTGGATTGAAAAAGACAATGTTTGAAAGATGCAAAGTATATATACGTTGGAAGGATAGAAAAAAAACTGTCTTTTTCTGCATCTTATTGATTTTATTTAATTTTGATGCAAATCTTATAAAATGACAATATTATTCATATTGCAGACTCCTTTCGTCCGACAGAACACTCCACATCCAAAAGAATTGAAGGCAAAAGCTCATAAGTTGTTCAACAAAGGAAGAAATGATAGTTATTCTGCGTCTACCGATGAACAGGTATAGTTATTTTTTCTTTTAATCAATGTTACCTATCTTCTACGAGGTTTTGATACTAACAATTAATGTAAAAAAATTTGTGTCTACTTTAAAACATGAACCACTGGTGATCCGAAGCTAAAACTTTCAGTACTTGTAAATTACATTTGTACTTTCATTTGATAAATCATTTCAATGATTTATTTTCAAAAACGCAAATCAAAATTTTGATTTCAATTTAAAATTTCTAAAGAACATACTTAAGTTTTTTTTTATTTCATTTTGGATAATATATGAGGTATTCTGCTCTGAATCAAAAGTCATTTTGCATTTACATCTCCAATTTTATTGAAATTTTTTTTTCTTTTAGTCATAATTGAAATGATCAAAAAATTCGTCTTGAAAAACTCTACAAAACTAGAAATAAATATCTATAGGTGTCATTAAATTTTTTTAAAATATTGGGCAAAAAATAATAGCCAAAAATTTTACAAGACTTCTGATAACGGATTCATTCTCACATAAAAATTACTTTTATCAAAAATTAATAATTTTAAAAATATTATTATTAATTTTTTAATATTATTTATAACTTTATAAATAAAAGAATCACATGTTTAAATTAGTTTAAAAAAGGTTAACCCAGTTCAAAAAAAGAAAGATCAAAATCCATCAATATGTTTTCAAGTTACAACATCTTTTGTGAATTTGAAAACTCGAAATCAATTTTGAAAAAAAATTATCTCCCCTCTTCTTAGAGCCATTTCAACTTTCTTTTTAACTGGTTTAACAGAGCTTGCATAATTTTTCAACAGCACAGCTTAAAAAATCTCGAGTTGGAAACATATACATATTATCTACCAAATGATCACTTTTTTCATAGAGATCCTGTACTAATCAGTAAGACCTAACAATTTAAATAAAATTATTTTTTTATGTCTTATACTATTCGAGATATAAATGAAAATGTAATGTATCCATGGTCAGGGAAATTAGGAAAAAATCAGGGAATTTTATGAAAAGTACTGTAAAAATATCAAATTTCTATAAATGCTACTAAAATTATAATTTTTTTAATTCGGTTAACATTACACGAAATGTCTAAAAAGTCCATTTTTTTATTTTCAATAAAAATTAGTTTATAAATATTTTATTATCCTTAGCAATTTGTTATTAGAAATTTAATCAAATTTATTTATTCCTTAATAAGAATGTTTCACAGAAATATTTTTAAAAAATTTTCTCTTTAAACCACCGAATTAAACTGAGACAAATTTTTACGATTTCAATTTAGTTTTAGAACAAGCTTTGATAAATAATTTAAAGTTACATAAAAAAAAGAAAATTTTCCAAGTCTGATTTATGCACATTATTCAAATACTAGCAAAATTAAACGCGCGCAAGCGCACCAAATTGAGTATTTAATTATTAGTTATAAAGAAATTAAAGATTAATATTATCAATAATAATTTAATTTATTAGAATATTATTACATGTTAAATGATAATAATGAAAATTATATGTTTACAGGCCTCGGATTATACGAATTTTTCCGACTTTTATCGACTTATTTTAATAAAATGCGACTTTTTTTTTACATTTGAAAAACAATGTAAATAAAATACATTTTTTTTTAGTATAAAATGTAGATCTTCTTCAGATCTCCTTCAATTCAATTATTTAACAAATTTTGAACTAAAATGATTCTTCACTAAATTAATTATTTTCAATAATTTTAATGAAATACATCACAAATTCAATTATATCAAAATTATTTTTCAATTAAAATTTTTATGAAATTTTACAATTGTTTAGAAATTAAAAAAATATCACAATAAAATTGAATTAATTTTTAAAAATTTCAATTCAAAATAAACTAAAATTCAATTATTACCCGAAATTTTAATTCAAAATCAATTAAAATTCAATAATTATCCAAAATTTTCAATTTAAAATTTAATTATTTACCAAGTTTTCAATTTAAATTAAATAAAATTCAATTATTTTCTAAAATTTCTATTCAAAATTAATTATCCAAATTTTCAATCAAAAATGAACTTAAATTAAATTATTCTCCAAAATTTCAATTAAAATTCAATTATTTCCCAAAATTTTCAATTCACAATGAATTGAAATTCAATTATTTTTCAAATTTAAAATCAAAAAAAATTTAATTATTCTCAAAAATTTGAATTCAAAATTAATTGAATTTTCAATAATTTGAATTTAAAAGCATCTAAAATTGAATTATTTCTATTTGAAATTTCTAAAGATTTCAACTTTAACCCTTCGAAAAGGATTATTATTAAAAAAAAAAATTTTTATTTAAAAATCTTTAAAATATTTTTGTTAAAATAAAAAACAAATCCACTTTTTTTTGGAATATAAATCGACTAAAACGACTTTTTTGTGTCTTTAAGTTGATTCGAGGCCTGTGTTTTTATAATTAATATTTAGTAGGTATTCGTTGGCCCATAGTACCTTAAAAATTAATTTTTGTCAAATTACTATCTTGTAGGAAATTTCCTGGCGCATCTTTTTTCTCATCATAAATTTTTTGTATTTGTATACAATTTTTGAATCAATATACAACTTTTAAAAAAATTTCGTTCGTAAACGTTGTGTATTTCAGCTTCGTGAATTGAATTTTGGAATTTGTAATTTTAAAAAAACTTATTCCGAAATTTGGAAACACAATTATACAACTTTGGCAAAAATGAGAAAAAGAATTGTCAAAATTTGACACGTCATAAGATTACTATTCAAAAAAACATGTGAAATCAGAAAAGGCCAACTTCAAGTTAGGACAGAAGGACAGACCAAGCATTTTATTATTATATAATTTTAATATATTAATTTGACATATTTTTAACAATTTTGTAAGATTTTTGATACTACTAATTCGATGCAAAAAAATAAATTAGCTTCAAACATTAATAATTATAAATTTTTAATTTTAACCTAAACAGCCACATTTTATTCTGCAAAATAAATACTTTTTTTACAAGTCCTGCTTTTAAGGAAATTTTTTCCTTAAAGAATAATACATCTAGAATATAACCTTAAATTTTTAAGTCATAATACTAAAATTTAAATAACTCATGAATTTTTAAGTAAAAACACTTTTTATTTTTCACAATTTTTTTAACTAACTTAAAATAAATTAATCCCTGTTAAACTAATTAAATTTTAAAAAACACTTCATAAGTTACCTCAGATTAAATTTTTGTGCAAAAATACTCAATACCGGCTGTACATTACATGTTTGAATACGTCTGGTCCAGCAGACCCGTTGTGCCATTTACGTTCGAACGCAAAATTTTGCCAGTTAAGGGTTAAATTTATTGGAAATAATTAGTTGAAAAAGAAATTCAGTTAAAATTTTTTTTAAAAAATTGAGTTTTGGAAGAGCAATAGTTAAAATTTTTTGAACTAAATGTATTTCAGAAGATTTTTAATTAAAATTTTTGTATTTTTTTTAATTGAAAAATATTTTAAATAATTAAATTTTCGAAAATCTTGATTAAAATTATCAAAATTAAATTATTCAACAAAGAAGTTTGAATAGAAAATTAAGAAATAATTGTATTTTATAAGAGTTTGAGTTAAAATTTTTCGAAATAATAATTTAATTTCAGGAGATTATTAATTAAAACTTTCATTTTGAATTGGTGAAATTTTTTTAAAAACTTTAGACAATAATTGAATTATAGTTAATTTTCAATTGAAAACTGTTTTAAATCATGTAATTTTCGAAGAGTTTGTTTTAAATTAATAAAAATAATTGATTTTATAAACAATTTAAGATAATATATATTTTTTAATAATTCAATTTTAAAAAATAAAAAAAAGTCGAAAAAGTACAATCCGAGGCCTGTTATTGAAAACATCTTGAAATATTTTCATTAGGGTCAGGGAAAAAAAATTTAATTTGGACTTGAAATCAAGAAAACGTCAGGGAAGAACAAAATAATATTTTTATGTCAACCCTGATAATTTATATTTATAGTTATCAGACTACTTGTTTCGTGTTATGAAAGATTTTTACAAAAAATTATTTTTTTAACAATATAAAGGAGTTTTACTTAAATTTGTAATTTTTTTTATTTATCATATTAACAGGATGTTTCACAAACATTTGGACTGGATAAAATAGAAAATAACAGTTCAGAGTTGGTGACTGATGTTTTTGAAGGCAATCAACAGTTATCTAATCAAGATGTACCCAAAGACGACTCTAATCCATTATTGTCACAAATTGTAAATACGGATGTTAATAAATCATTGAGTATAAATTCGGAATTTATTCAGCAACCATCGGTCAATCCACGTAACGAGGTAATTTTATATTATTTTCATGACATTGATTATAAGTTAATGATAAAAATAAATTGTTTAAATTTATTGAAAATTTGTTTTAGTGAAATAAAATTTAATTTCAATTATAGCGATTTTAGAATTCAAGTTGTAGTTATTTGAGTCTGATCCAATATGTAAGCAAGACTAAGTTTTGCTGATTGATTATTATTCTCTTGAAAATTAGAAAATCCTTATCTGTAAAATTTATTAACGATTGGAATTTGTTGACAAGACCAATGTGCGTCAAGAATTTTCTGTTTGAGTCCCGTAAAAGTTCATTGTAAATATTATCTGTGACTGCGTTTGATTGTGAGAAAAGGACCAAAAAAATTTTTTCTTGAAAATGATCGTATTGCATTTTTTTGGGTAGCCTTTTAGCCTAAAACGTTATTAACAAAAATTTAATTTTTTTTATAGTAGACCCTCTAAAAAAATATGAATCAATTGTGTGTAATTTGAGGTAAGCGAGATATTTACAAAAAATATTACAAATATATTTAAATAATAGGTACCTACATGTGCTTTAAATGAAACTTTGAAGTATGAGTGTCCTTGTCGAAAAACCGCTTATGATTATCAGACGCTCGTATTAGCTGGCCCCTGAGTTGAAAATATTTTTTTCTGACACTAGCACCGAAAGTGCATCATTTTTTACCTATACATCAGGTGGAAATTCAGTGATTTGATTTTTGTACATTTTTTCACTTTCAATCCGAATCCAACCTCGAAAATGGCCCATCACGTCAGGATTTTTTATAATCTTACAATTAGTTTAAATGGCTATTTTGGCCATTTTCGTGGCGTCCGTCCATCAATTCAATGTAGAACTATTTTCAATGTCTGATAACTCAAAAAAAAAAAAAATGATTTTTTCAATTTTTGATAAGAGAAGAAAAGTTTCAGTTTTTCTTTTACTTTTCAATAATGTTAACAAAAAAATATTTTTTTATTTTTTATTAAAAAAATAACAATTTTTTATAAACAAATTAAGTTTTTTTTAATTTGGATATGATTTTAAAAATTTTTTATTTTAAAACATACCTGGAAATACGCCCATATATATTAGGGTGATCTTTAAAAACCAAATTTACGAATGTTTAAGTTCGTAAACCTCATTTTGTTAAGCATCAAAAAATAAGAGATACCAATTTTTTTATTTTTTTTAAATAAATATTTAATGGTGCCTCAAAGCACTTGAATTTTTACATGTATTTTGCATGGGAAAAAAACGTTTTTTTGTAGATTAGCTATGAAATGATGAAAAATGAATATTTTTTTATCAGACTACTCTATTTTTCTTGATAAATGTTTAAGGAATAAGATCCAATAATTTATTTATGAATTTTTTAATAATAACTATTTTTTGAGGAGCCCCGAAATCCCCAAAAATGCAAAATCAGGGAAAAATTGTTAGAAAATGTTTATTAATATTTTTTTATAGTATTTGTTGCAAGATTTTTTATTTACAACCTAAACAAATATTATTAATTGTATTTTTAGATCATTCGCAATTTGTTTAAACAATATATATATCGTTATTGTAAAACTGTTGTTAAAAATATCTGGAAAATGATGTTTTTTTTAATTCTATAACTTTTATTAACATGAAGTGCGATAAATAACAGTTTTTTTAAAAAAATCTCAACAAAAATTGTTTAAACAAATTATTGTTGCTATTTCTAAACTAGTATTTAAATGTATTTACAAAGTTGCTTTTCGCCCTTAATTTTGCAAGTAGTTCTACTGTATATAACTGCAAAAGTATCTTAAATTTAAAACTTAATTTTTCACAATTGTTTAAACAATTCAATTTTTTTATCAATTTAATACTTCTGGATTTTCTAAAAGATATACAGTAAGAATTATGCTGAGCCACAGTTAATAATTCGCACTGTATATCTTTTAGAAAATTCAAAAGTATCAGATTGATAAAAAAAATTGAATTATTTAAACAATTGTGGAAAATTAAGTTTTAAACTACTACTTTGTTTATTACAATCAACACGAAAAAACTGAACGCTGTATAGTAACCTATACTGAATGTTCATTTCTCATAACTCAATTTTTTTTACTAAACGCGCAATAGTCGAATGCACTATAACTCTTCTCTTCGTGTACAATTAATAATAATTGTTTAAGTTTTAAATAAAATATCTTTCGTCTCAGTGGCCAGCTAATTCGAGCGTCAGAAAATTATAACTTTTTTGATCAGGAGCTTCAATTACTAAAAACAATTAACAAGTATGAGAATACTGTACTAGTTTATTTGGCTACTACACCAAAAATTTTCAGTATAAGTATTTAAACAATTTCTGGTTACTAAAATTTTGCAGTTTCTACTGCATATCTGTTTACCAACGAATTTTAAAAAATAATTTCAAATTCAGCGACTCCGAAATCTGCTGAATATCAACTTTTAGTAAATTCTAAAAAATGTTTTAAAAAAAACCGCTGCCAAGTTGAAGTATGAACTTTTTGTGTTAATTTCATGAACACTTTGCTTCCTCATGGAATTTTTTTTGTGATCATTTTATGATAACTTATTTAGTATTTTAATAATTTTAAACAAGTTGTAAATTCAGATGTTCATTACATGAACTTCCTCTTTACGATCAGCAAAAAAATTTGCTTCCTCGTGGAAAAAGCATTAACATTGAAATAAACATACAAAAATAATATAATAATATAAACATTTGAGTACCTATACATTTGAGTTAAATTTAAAGAATTAATGGAAATTAAAAAATCAAAAATTCATAATTTAACCGAGATTTCTAAATATTAATGAAAAATAATATATAATTATTTACAATTATATCGATTCGTTTTAATGCAAGGAATACAATTATTTTATATTTAAACTTGAATTTAAATAAATATAAAATTTTTCAGCTAAAATGTGTATTTTCTATTTTTTAACTTTCATTACTTTATTAAATTTACCTCAAATGTAAATTTTAAATATACCAATCGATTCGTTTTCATGTAAGGAATACAATTATTTCATCTATAAACTTAAATTTAAATAATCACAAAATTTTATAGCCAAAATGTGAATTTTTGATTTTTTAACTTTCATTAATTCTTTAAATTTAAATTAAAACTATACTTTATATATACCGATCGATTTGTCTTGACGTAAGGAATACAATTTTATTATTATATAACATTAAATTTTTCTATTTAAAAATTTTTTCGATTAAAAAAAAATTTTTGGAAAAAAGACGATAAAATTTTTTGGTATTTTTTAAAATCCTTTGGTCAGATTTGAGATATTAATATGATAAATGAACCTACCAAATTTTATCTAAATCCATTAAAACCTGTTAAAGTTATCTTCTAAACAAAAAAGGGATCCACACACATACATACATCCGGACAATTGATCAGGATCTCATATAACATGTATAAATGTAAAACATAATTTCACTCCATTTTTATTCTAACCCTCATAACAAAAGGATATCCCTAGGATATCAATTGAGCTACCAATTGCAAGCTACCAATTGAGCTACAGAGAGACCCAATTCCACTCAATTCAGAAACCATGCACACGACTTTTCAACGTCAATATTAACAACTTTAGAAAATATCTAGTGAGGATGGTAATTTTGTTTTGAATTTAATATTGTAGTTACGATGATAAATTAAAATTACCATCCTCACTAGGTAAAATAATATGATTCAAATCAGATTGTGTCTTCTTGTTAAATAAAATTAATTACTCTTGACTTATTCAGATTAAAGTGTATTGTTATGTACACGTCAATACGATAGTAACATAATACCTACTACAAAAACTTGGTAGTGAATAACAACATTCAACCCTCATAACAAAAGGATATCCATAGGATATCCATATCAATGGTCGATATCCTAGAATGGTCTCCAGGATATCTTGGGATATCCCTAGGATATCCAAACCGCTGGTCTGTGGGACATCAACAGGACATCCATAGGATATCCCTAAGACATCCACAAAATATCTATTGGATATTATATCGCAGGATATCCATGGAATATCCTCAGGATGTCCGTGGGATATTCTTAGGATATTCACGGGATATTTAATATCTCAACATATATTTTTAAAGGTTAAAATTGTTAAGCTAATATAATGAATAATAATATAATAAAAACAAAAATCTTATGAGCTTCTAATTTATTTTAAATGAAGATTTGAAAAGCATTTTTCAAAGTTTTTAAATAAACTCATGCACTTAATGTATAATTAATATTAATAGTTATTCGTTATTTGCGGGGAAGAATTTATATTGTTTAAAGCCAATTTATTTTCTGACAATATTAAGCATATGAATAAAGGAATGAATCACGAATGAGAAAAAAATTAGTTAATAATTTTTCAAATTAAACAACTTTCTCGAAAAACAAGTTGCATTTTATTTTATTTATATAAAATTTAATTCACAGAATATTCTCACTCGTAGTCTCATAATGACTTTAAAAACCAGCGCCGGATTTACAAACAATTTTAGTGTAAGCTACCAAATTTTGCCGCCCACTTGTGGGCAGCGTTTAAAGGGAGAAGATGCATATACATGATGAAAATAGTCCAAACATACATGCAATAAAATATATGATATAAAGTAACATTTTTATTAGGTCTAATAATACGTATGCATAATTTTTATTTGTAATTGTTTATTTAATTTTTTATAAAAATATTTAACATTCTTTACATATAAAAATATTGTAATTCAATGACACAGTTATTGACAGTTTAAAATGACTTCAGAAATATACGTAACGATTCTACATTAATTGTTTACGTGATTTTTTATTTGCAAAGTCATCTATAAGTTCATCATAATCAATTGATTTTATGAGATTTGATTCGATGGATAGAAGAGCTAGAGAGTTTAACTTTTCCTGCGATAATGATGATCTGTGATAATTTTTTACTCTTTTTAGACAAGAAAAACTTCTTTCTCCTGAACAGTTTGTTGCCGGAATGCAAA